CACATACCTTTTAATAATAGCAGTAACATCAGTGCTTGTAATCTTGAAATAATTGTCATCTTCTGGTCAATTGATATGATTTTAACTCAAAATTTTACATGTTATTTATTTACATTAATATATAAATGTAATTAATATCATTAATAAAATTTTCTTTTCTTTTAACCATATTAATAACATCTCCATCAGATCCTGCTAATGCATTAATAAATAAATACTTTTTAATTTAATCATTACACTTCTAAATATATAAAAAATAGATGAAATAAAAATTAATGAAGCTAACCTTTAAAAATATTAAAAAAATCAAATTAATTCCATTTTATTAATAGCCATTCTTGAAAAGAGTCTGTTACGCGATTTTGTTTTTGTTAAATAAATTTTGTTTGATACAATCTTCTATTTCATCCAGCAATGTATATTAATATATTAATATTATTAGAAGTTAATACTTTTCTATAAACAAATTATGTAATTTAAAAAAATAAACATTTAAAGATTGGAAATTAGAACTTAACTATTGCATTTATTATTATTATGTAAAAAAAATTAAGCCCAAAGATTGAAAATGTGCATGTTATCCAATTTCTTAATTTATTATTATTATAGAACTTATAGAACTGGTAGTCCAACTTCATGTTAAGATTATCGCTTAGTGGTATTTGTTTACCCTGGCAAAAAATACATCAAAATAAAGGGTTTTTCATATATTTGTTATTTTTTATGATCAAAGTAACAATTTGATTAAATCAGGCAAGTTTGTGTATGAAAGCGTGATTTTTTTCTTCATTTTTTCATATAAAATTCCGTGTTGATCAAAAATTTTTTATTAGTGAGTGACACTTGACCCCCTGTAGATCCGCAATGTCCTGCGACTGATATGAACACACGTGTAACGTTGTAGATCCACAAATCATATAATATTTTTTTATTACAGAAGTTTTTTACTAAAAAAATTATTCAATATTTTCACTATTAAAAATATTGTGGGTTACTTTTCTATGAGATTTATATTGCTTAATTGCAAATTTTGCTTGCTCACCTGTAAGCCCATTCCTATAAGCATCCATGTAATAAAAAGAATGTATAGCATATTTCCTAATATGTTTCAATGATACAGAATCTAATGCTTTAGGAGCCACCTTTTTCAATCCATTCCAAGAATAATCACAATTGTTCTGCATATCATTTGGCTTCTCCCCAATATCTCTCAATAAAATTCAGTTCACAGCGAAATTTTGGGTAAAATATTACTTTGTGCCCCCTCTGCTCAATTATTTCTTGAATTAATGGTTTTTGGGCTAGAAAATCAGGCTAGGCTTCCAGAATATGATGAGCACAACAATTATTATTTTCATTTGAATCATTACCACAAAATGCTTGTAACCCATCTCTTCATAAATTTCTCTCTTGCAAAACAATACACATACCTTTTGGTTGGCCACCTGGAAACACCATTTTTTGAACTTGATTATTAAATACAGCATCTCTCAATTTACGTTGCTTACCTCCAGGATTTAAATTCATATGTTGTGCAATCAATGCATTGTCAGCAAATGCACCATGAGAAGTTGAGTTGTCAAAAGCAAATATTCCAACACAACCTGTATGCATTGCTTCAAAAATTGGTATAGCTTTTTGGATTATCTTTTATAAAAATAAAAACTCATTAGTAAAAAATTCAATAATATTGATTACACAATACTTCATCTGTTCAGCTAATTTTTGAATATTCCCATATCCTTCATGCTGTTTTCCAATTGACAAAAAAACACAAGCTTCAGTTGGAAACTTTTCATCATTAATTCTTTCCTTAACTTCTGGTGAAAGTTTTAGCCATCCAATTGGCTCACAAAGAAAATCACTAACATGATATCCATGTCCTTCTCCTTTTTTCAATAAAGGTTGCTGATTAGAAGGACCCCAGCCAGATTTTGTACCATCATTGGAATGAAAAGTAGACTCATCATGGGTTACAAAAATATGTATTTTTTCACCTTCATTGAGATCTGGAAGTATGCAAATTTCAAGATTGTTTCCTATATATTTTGGCATCAACCTTTCATATCTAAAAAATAATAATTGATTGTTTGATTGATTGATTTTAGTTTAATAATATTTTGCATAGTAAATAATTCATAAATACTCTTTCATTGTTTCTAAGAACTTTTTGCAATATTCAATGACATCTTCATGCTCATGTCCATCATAATAGACATCTTTGCTATAAGTTTTGAAGTAAAATCCTATTTTATGCAGCCATTTGCATGCAAGTTTCACAGCTAATGAATGAAATATTGAATGAATAAATATTGATTGCAGTTCAAATTAATTTATATATATTTAATGAGAACTCACCTTATGTTTGTTTCTTTTTCAACCCCAACACATGGAAAAATAACAGATGAAAGGTGATTAATAAAATCATTAATATTAAATTTAAAAATTTTTTTCATGTAAAAATTTTGTTATTCTTAATTTAATGTCTTCATCATCTAGTAAACTTGATGTTTTTCTATGCAAACAATGATTTGAAAATGGAATAGGATCTCCTCCTTTGACAATTTGTGCCCATTCTCAAATACAGTGAGCAAAGTATTTACCTTTATCTAATTGATTTGCAATAGATATGCTTGGTTCTAACTTTTTTTACCTAATTTATTAATTTTAAATATTGAAGCACAGCTGTAAGTCATAATTTATATCCATTACTAAAATCATTGTTTTTAGCTGCTTCTCTAAGTCACTAATTGCAACTTCTATCATTTCTTTATCATTACTTTCAATAAATTCCTCAGAACTTTCATTTTCACTACTAAATTTGCTCTGCTTTTTTCAAAAAATGCAGTTATTAATTGACCATTTTTTTCAGCATTTTTCTTAGCCTCACTTTGTTTCCAGTAATAAGTTCTGGAAGAGTTACCTATATAGCACAAAAGTCTTGATGATGAAGTGTAATTTTTTATGGATTCATTGAGGATATCAATATATTTTACAGAATTTTCATCTAATTCTCTATCTATTCCTTCTTCAAACCAACTTTCCTCAGATTCTTCACATGAAAATTGTTCTAAATTATTTTCTAATTGATTTTCATTACCAGATGAGCTATTATTTTTTTTGTCTAAAGCAAGTCTATTTAAATGTGCTTTTTGCTTTGTAGGTTTAGGCATGATTAATTGGTAAATTTCAAAAAAGAGTTAGATTTTTTGAACAAAAAAAACCCCCTGCATTAAAAAATTGAATTGATATTTAATCACGTGATGGGTATAACATGGAATTAAAATTAATTCCAGCCAAATTTAGCAATTTTGGTAAGATTTATGGTGGACAAATTGAGGTCAAACATAGAATAATGATAATTTTTAAAAGCTCATAGCTCCATCTAGAATGGGATTTTAAAAAAAAACTCTTCATTTTTTGTTAATTCAAGCTTCAAACTAACTGTTTATGAAGAGCTTTTTGATTTATTTTATCTGCTGACATACTAGATAGAATTAGAAATTTTCATTAATATATGGCAAATACAAATACAATTATGGAAACAACTATGGTTCTGCTTTTTGTTGGGTAATAGCACATCTTTATGCTGCTTTCTTTCTTTAACATTTATTATTGTTCTTTCTTCTTGGTAAATTTCATTAGTGATCTTTTCTTTCCTTAGATAAGCTTCAAGTGTCTGAGTATCATTTATAAGGAGTGATTTTTTCACCTTGTTCCTTTTTTAAAATACTTCTGATAGTACTATAATTCTTGGCTTTCATGGTAGGTCTGATGTGAATGAATTTCACATTAACTATTTTTATATAGGGATAGTTCTATATATCACTTAAGATAACAAATGGGATATTATAAAACTGTTAATTATGATCACATTATGAATGATTAAATTTTTGATCCCTGAAATTCTTGGTAATACCAATGTTCACTTTGGTTTTGTTGCAAGCATGGCCCATTTATATTAATGATCAATGTGTAGAATTAAAGCAATCTAGTCAAAAGAAAGTCTATGTATGTTTTTATTGATAGGAATTATTAAATTTTATAGTTGATATTTTAATTATTTAATAAATCAATTTTCATTTAACTTTAAAATTCCTGTTGTATTTGGTAATTTGAGACTTAATTGACCTGAATCTGTGATAAATTAATACAAATAAAAAAATTAATGAACAAAACAAATGATCAATCAATCAATCCAACAAATAATAATCAATACCTCTAAAATCCCTTTTGTCAAATGTTTGAATTGCATCAGTGAAATCGAGTAATCTACTAGTGTATATAGCATTAGGATGTATTTCCTCTTTGTCTTTATCTTGAATCTTTAATGAATTAATCCTAAATATTTCTGCATTTACAAATTGATTAATATAGATGGTAAGGGTATACCATTTATATCTAATGACTTGTTTGATTTCTTTTGCTGTAGGTCTTTTTGATGGGTCAGCATCCCAACATTGTTTCATCAAATCTACATAACATTCTGGGGTACCATCAATTATGGGAGGTCTTAATCCTTCTCCTTTACCACTACTACCACAAATATCCATTGCCAATTCTATATTGTGTGGCCTATCAGAAAATGGTTGTTGACATGAAGTTATCTCCCACATTACCATACCAAAACTATAAATGTCACTTTCCTTTGTATACTCTTGACCTTTCAATACTTCGGGTGCTACATATGGTAACACACCATAAATTGCATTTTTTGTGGTTGAGTTGTTGTTGGTGGTAGTGATTGGACGTGACATTCCCAAATCACTAATATAAGTCCAACCTTGATCACGTAAAATATTTCCAGAATGAAAATCACGATGTACCACATTTGCTTCATGAATTGTTGCTAAACCAACGATAACACTTTCCAACAATGCTACTTTACCCATCCATGATCGCATCTTTGAATTTAAAATAAGATCTTTACGTAAATCACCAGCTCCTGCATGTAATAATACCAACATATAATTTTTTGTTGAATTGTCTTTTGTTATACCATAACATTTCAAAACAAAAATACTATTACAACGTAAATGAAGTTTTAACTTTTTTGAAAGAAATAAAAAATTTTTTTTTATTCATCGTCAAAGTAATTAAATTATCAAATAATTAAATAATTACATAATTAATTTTACCTCATTTAAGTATTCATCACTCAAAGATTCAGATGAAGTATCCAAATTTTTCAAAGCAATTTTACAATTAGATTTTCTGTTCAACTTTACACCATCCCAAACTATTGGGCCATCAATCCAAATTGCTTCATAAATAGTGCTAAAGCCACCTTTGCCTATTTTTTTCACGATTTTAATCTTTTCATATGGTATCCATTCCAATATTCGACCAGGGTTGATTGGATTAATTTGCGTCTCCTGGATTAGTTCATCAATTTTTTGATTACCGCTTGTCCAATTTATAAAATTCTCTTGAAATATTTTAGTTTGGCACACAGAACACCATCCGTTGTCAGTTTGTGGTTGATCGCACGTATCACAATTACCATACGATGATTTTGAAGTGCCGTTCATTTTGCGCAAAAAAAAAAATTTACTGTGAGTGGTCAAATTTGTAAACGTGGTGGAACAAATAATATTAATATGGATGTAACAAAGTAACGGAATAATTCCAAGGATTCAAATTCTTGATAATAGTAACAAGTATTATTAATTCAACGATTCTTTTTTCAAGTTTTCAATTTCCTACTTCTGCAAAGAACAACAAAAATTAGATTTCCCCACATTTAAATTCATTCAACCTAGAATGGGTTATCTAATTTAGATCTTAGTACTAATCATCCATCGATTAACTTACTTGGTAATAAGAGATCTATAACCAATTTAGATTCATCCTAAACAAAATTCAAAAATTTCGCTTCCTAAAAAACACGCCCAAAAACAATTAGCTGAACCATAGCAAGTAAAAAATTACAAAAAATATTTAGATCCAGTTTACATGCGAGTGAGAAATAAGATTAAAGTAACGTTGATCTTACCAAATTAAGTGGAAATCGACCGATAGTTTAAAGTGAAGCAAACCAAACAATCGTGAAAGGATTAATTATTCCACTTTGTCAAGATTGAGTGTGTATAAATATACGTGAATGGCTTTACATAAAAATGTTTTTTACTTGGAACTTGTTTCTTTAAAACATTATTATTGTTATTATTATTATTTATTATTATTATTATTATGTTATTATTACAAAAAAAAAAACGTTACTTATAAAAATATATAATTTAAACAAATTAAATTATAAAATTAATAAATATGCATGTATTAATAAATATAAATTTTAAAAAATTATCAAACAGGTTGTTGCACGCAAGAGGAAATACACATTTTACTCCATTCACTGATAGTCATATCCCTATTAAAGAAAAAGGGTTTTTAATTAATTAGAATTATTATAACTAATAAACAATAAAAATTATGTACAATAACTACGTCTTTCTTTTGGTAAATGTCTTGTTCAACAAATTTAAAAGCTTGTTGACGTTCAATCTAACATATTCAAGGTCTATTGATAAAACATTATCTTGTTGCTAATAAAAAAAATTTTAAGAATTAATTAATATATTCGTGTGTATATATATATATATATATATATATATGTTCACATATAAATAATATTCACTTTTTCCAAAAGATCGTCAAGCTTCAGATCCATTTCTAAAATAGCAGCATCACGGCCTTTATAGTAAAGAGCAATCATAAATGCTCCAGGCAGTGGCGATGAAATATTGAAAAATATCCCTTCCCGTCTAAATAATTTTTTCCAGACATAAAATAAATTGTCTATTGATTTATTGGTTGAACGATTCATCTATCAAAATTTATCAAAACTTACCTATTATCAGGAACACTACTGTCTTCAATAATTCCCTCTTTTTCTAATTGAATATATGTAAATTTGTAAGGACCTATAATTTTTGATTTCTGAGTTTTCTTTTGTTTATCACCCACTTTAACTACACTTGAATTAAAACCACCAGCTGAATCATTAGCTGCATGTTTTCTAACATTTTGTAAATATATTTTATAATTATCCAATTGACTTCTCAAATAATTATTGTGATCGCATATGGTTTTATAAACAGATTCAAGTGATCTAATTTCTTTAGTGACACCTTCTCGAAGATTTCCAAGATGTGCAAGTTCTTGTTCAACTTCTTCGGTCATTAATAGATGCCCATCAGATCGTTCTATAACCTTAGCCTCTTCTAATTCACGTAACATCTCTTTCACTTTAATGCCCTTTCTAACCAGTAATGCGTCTTTTGTTGTCGCTGCAGTCTCTGCTATCCACAGTAAATCTATTGGACGACGCTCAGCCATTTGTGGTATGGAACGAATAATCTGTATGATGATTGATTTTGCCTCCATATATAAAATATCATTTTGTGTCAAGCTATTATCGGCCAAAAGAGAAGTGGCAATGTCTAAACAAAATATTTTGAGATTAAATAAATTATTATTGTTATCATTATCTCTCTCTGTCATTTAAAATTAAAAAAAAAATATTATAATAATGATAAAAAATATTCAAATTGTTTTGAAAATTTTTTTTTGTAATCCTCAAGAATTAATTAGATTTTCCACCATATATAATTTAATACCTACTCTAACTCTCATATTATTAGGGTACTAGTGGTGGTAGTGCATATAAAATTTTACTATAATATATATATATCTTGAAATTTTTATAAATATACCTTGTATTGGTGTTTCCCATCTACTGAATAAAGGAAGTTCGATAGCTTTATTTTCATTTCTAGGGACTTGAGAAGGAGCTAGACTTAAATCGTCAAGTAAAATTCTTAAATGGTTGTTTTCAGAGGGTGCCTATTAAAATAAAAATTGATTAAATTGTTAATTAATTAAAAAATCAAATCAATATTATCTTATATAATTTGTTTGACTTGATATTATTATTGAAAAAAAAATTTTTTTCCATACTAAAACATCCTGATGCTGTAAAAGCAATGCATGTGTATTGTAAATCTCGTTCAGAGTAATATTCAACGTTATATTTTTCTTTGAAAGAGCAATGTATTGATCCATCTAAATAGTAATAGTAATAGTAAATAATAATAATAATAAATTCAAGTTTAATAAAATTAAAATTAAAGGCTAATAAATAAAATGTGTCTACATAAATGTAATAAATATTTACTTCTAAACTTTCATAAAAATCTCCTACTTCACATAATTCCAACAAAAATTTGTTAATCTTTTGTTTGTTATTTTCAACAAAATCAAAATCATTAAGCACTCCCATATAATCTTCTTTGGCATAAGATGGTTTATTTGCCAGATTTTGCAACATTTTTGCAACCTAATTTAATCATGAATCGATTGAAAAATTTAGTTCAATAACAATTTATAAATAAATAATATCTTTCTTCAAAAAAAAATCCAACTAACCAGTGTTAAAGTTCTTCTAGGATGAGTGCTGGGCACACCATCCACCAACATGTATGCCTGAGGAGTCACAACTGCAGGATTAACAAATCGAAGAAAGAAGAAACCACCAATCAAGGAACATATGGCAATTTCAGTTGCATTTGGATATTTACGCTAAAACATAATATCATGTAAGAACAAGTTGTAAATTAAATAATAGTTGCAATAAATAAATAAATAAACATTTACTTTTGTTAATGATCTAATTTGTTTACATATCCATCTAATACCATAAGGTACTTGTTCTATAGATTCAATTATAGTAATAAGAAATTTATTGGCTATTTCAATCAACATTTTCATTCGAGGTTGAATTATTTTCATAACTTCCGGGTTTGCAGCAGCAACTTCGGTAGTTACACTACGTGGAAGATCAGGTGGAAGAAATCCATTTTCTTCCTCGTATTTTTTAACAACTTGTTCGTAAACCTAATATTAGCCAATATATATATATATGCATGATTTTAAACAAAACAAAACAAATTTATAAAATCCAAAGTTTTTTTACACACCTTCAAAGGATTTATTTCAAGATTTAAATCTTTGTGTTCTATTAAATTGTTAATTCGTTCAGATAGCATAGATTTTAAATAGCTTTGACCAGGCCCTCGACGAGTATATGTTGTCATCATACGTGATACGGGAGTATTTGCTCGAAGAAGAGAATTAAAATCTGCCGTTGTTTCAAATTGTGCAGAAAGCACTGACTATAAAAAAAATATTATTATTAATAAGAAAAAATTTTCAAGTATTAAAAATAATTAATTAAACAGAAATTACTTGAAACATGGTCAATAATAAATGTTCCTCTCTACTTTCATACTGATTCCCATATAAAGTAAACATGACCGTTTGTAACAATGTGTCGATTTCTGATAGTGCTACTAGGCGACATAAATTTGCTATATGGCCAGGCTCTGTTTGGAGCAAAAAGAAAAGATTTCCATATAATTGCAATTTTCGATCATCCGGGAAATTACCATCTTGTGGATCAGTTTCTTCAAGATGACTCTCCACTTCTTGTTTCTTTATTATAATTAGAAATATAAATTGTTTTTTGTATATAGGATCAAGATATATATATGCATTCTAAATCTTTGTTCACGAATTTTTGCAAATATATAAAATTCAATAAAAAACAAAAAAAAAAAGTGTATACTTTAAATCATTCTAATCTTGTTGAAAACTACCTCATCTAATGCCATTCGATTCTGTATTAACAATGCAATACGAGAATCCAAGTATCTAACGTCTCGTTCTAATACAAAGTTTTTCTTGGATTGTGAAGATATCTTAATTTTAAGATCTCTTAAAATTCTTTGTGCTTTTTAATTTAAATATTAATAATATATAAATGTCAATATGAATAAAATATAGTTATAATTAAAAATTTCATATATAAATTGCTCCCCTCTCACTTTACCTCTTGCCAATTCATCTTCAACTTCAACATCTTGTTCAGTAGCCATTGAGTATAATGCCGTCACAGAATACCTATTACTGGTACGACTAGCAACAGTACCTGTGGATCTCCGGCCAACATTACTACTATTGGGTGGACGTGAACCAGGTGTTATAGGTATTCCATAAGTTGCTAATAAACCTTGATGTTCCATTTATTTTATTTGAACGTCAATATTTTTTTTTTTTGGTTAAATTTTACCAAAAAAGAAATAATAAATATAATTTCCTTATTTTATAAATAAAAAAAAATAAGGAATTGTCTTTTTAGAAATAAAATGCTTTGTATCTTTAAATATCAGTATCTATGCTATTTATGCTATTAAATAATTAAATAAAATTAATTTATTCATTCATTTAACAATTTTTAACAATGCATTCATTATAAATTAATTTATGCGCAACCAACTGCCATGTGGTCTTTTATTTTATTATTTCTTATTTTAGAAAAAAATTTACTAGTTGAGATTTACCCTTAATTGAACACCAAAACTTTGTCTCTGAATGGTTTGTAAAACAAAGATTTGCAGTGTTTGTTAAATTGCGCGCACAAACTTTTCTTGGAGATAAAATCACAGCAGTGTTGGCAATTTAATTGGTTCAAATTTACTATTACTTAAAGGCTTATTGATCTGTATTACATTTAATTCGTGATCCATGATAGAAGCGCATACTGCGCCATGTTTACTGAAATCCAGGGTGCTAAGTAGCAAAATCAAAAACTTGTAAAGAAAACAATAATAAAAAATATGTCAAAATAATGGTTGAGATTTTTTGCATCATATTATTTAATATTCTGTGTAATATTTATCATGTGTGCTGGTAGAAAAAATTTGGAAGTTGGTCAATTGTAACCATTTGATAGTGATCATCTATAATTAATTGCTTATAGTAACAACTTGGTCAACTTCAAAATACTAAAACAAAAAAAAAATATCATTTTAAAAAATTTAACCGATAAGTTTTATTTTTTATGACTCAAGCTTCAAAACTTATCGGCTGGTTTTTTCTTAAACTGAAAATTGGCAGAGCCTTAGCATTTTGAAAATTCCGAATTTTGTTATACATTTAAGAAATTGAGACTAAGTAAATTTCGTGTAACAATTTTTTTTTCATAGAATATTTTCTACAACATACATTTGATTTATTTGATTTATTTATTTCCTTTTTTTATTAATAAATAAAAGTTCTTTACAACAAAAAACTAACATATTACATTAAAAGAAAATCATTACCAAATTTGATCGTGAGATTCAAAATATTGTAACACGAAAATTATTGTTGCACTTCTGATCATAACTTTCAAATTTAAAAAATCTATGAAAAGAAAATTTGAGACAAATTTTTTTTTAGATTAATAGACTCCCTTTTTAAAGCTGAATTGAATGGTGGCAAGTTTTTTAAAATTCAATGTGTGGATCACATAATATTTCAAAAATTTTAACTTTTGAGTATGATCCGCACTGTACTTCTATCACGTATCACGAATTAATGGTAAAATTTTTGACGAATGAATTGAACGTAAACAATCTTTGTGTCTCTAAGTAGAAACAATCACGCGTCTTTGCCTTTTAAAACGCAATCATTATGCGTCAGTAGCTCTTCCGATGATGGAGTAATAGCCTTTCAAAGAAATATATAGTAAAGTCTTAACACTAGTGCTTGGTCTTTTTGGTTTTTGATGCGATCAACGTTTTCACCTTATTTAGCGTAGTACGAAAAATATTCGATTCTTTAAAGAACGTTTTGCTTCTCTGCATTACCTCACTATGCAATTGCAATGCTCTTGCACTCTCCAATTTTTTTGAGAAAAGGTTCATTATATAACCAAGAAATAAAGATCTTTATTGTTGATCATCTAATCGAGGCAATCATAAATTTGAAAACATAAAAAAACGGAATTATTATTATCTTCTCTCACTGTTAAAGAAATCGGCTGAGAATATTAATAATTATGGTTAAAGAGAATCGATCGAGACTTTTTAAATAGGAATACTTTGCCACCACAAAAAAAATCAGGTTTGTTCTCAGTTTAAATAAATTAACAAAGCCTTTTTTGAGAACACAAGGAAAAAAAAAACAGGAATTGATATTACCTTCTCTCACTGTTAAGAAATCAACTAATAATTTGTATAGCTAATTTATTGAGAATAGAAACACTTCGCCACAACAAATAATTTTCGTGTTACAATATTTTGAATCTCACGATCAAATTTGGTAATGATTTTCTTTTAATGTAATATGTTAGTTTTTTGTTGTAAAGAACTTTTATTTATTAATAAAAAAAGGAAATAAATAAATCAAATAAATCAAATGTATGTTGTA